GACTCCACTGAAGAAAACTAATTTTTTCTTTGTAAGTAGGTATCATTAACTGAACATTCTACCATGTGATAATTGTAGGTGTTCTCACAAATTTCTAATGTCTCCATTGTCATACAACTAGTTGTTGGAACTGAAGTCTTTTTTAAAGTCACACCATGCCTTACTATCACTTTGACAGCTCCCTACATCACACACATAAAGCCCTGGCTTTGGATTCTCTCTCAGTAAAAGGGGTATAGACCCAGTCGACAAAAATCAATGTAACTCTCCTAAAAAGCAATTCCAGCCCTTTAAAAATCCTTTGGTGTTTGGTTTTTTAATTTCTTGGGCTTCATTTTATTATGTTTTGTTTAGAAGGAAAAAGTTGCTTCCGTTCATAAAATATTTTAGCCTGTGTGGAACAAGAGATAAGCTTGCAGTATTCATCCATTCACTGAGTTAAGGCAGAAATTAAGATACAAATGAGTATGACTGTGTGCCAGAGTGAAATCACAAACTCAACCTTGATGGATCTTAGACCAACATTTGATGGCTCATTTATTCCCTGTAGAGAATTCCACAGAAGTAACAGAAAAGGCCTCAGAAGGACACACAATCATTAAAAGTATGCAAGTTATGGCAACACACTGGCAGCCTCCTTAGCTCCAGAAACAAAAAGAAGCTCTTTGTGAGAGCAGTGGCTTAAATCTCTTTAATATCCTTTCAAAATAAAAGCATGTATCCCAAACTTAGGTTTATTTACAACTTTTACATGGCTTGTACACGTGAACTACTCTCCCAAGTTGTGCATAATAAAATACTATATATATATATGTATATATATATATATATAATCCCAGAAAAGATGAGATAAAAATAAATGTTGAGTCAAATATTCCTGCTCTCAATGAATGAGTTAGCACATGCCCTATTACATATCCAACTTAAGTATTCTTTCACAGGGCTTCTGGTTCAGTTGCATCTTGCCACAGAACTCGGAGCATTGACAAAACCTGAAAATCTCAGCAATAGTACCCTAAAACCCATATAAAAACAATCCCGACCGTGTGCCATGTTTAGGTAGGAAATCATCCTTGAAAAAGATTTATCAGTGACAGTCCTCCATGGAAGCTTCGGCTAGCCACACCCATGGGCAGCAGCATCCCTCCTCCTGGCTTCAGCCTTCAAGAAGCAAGCATGCAGTACCCACAAACATTGTGTTGCTCTCTGTCACAGAGAGGTGGAGGGCGAATGCTTCTAGAAACAGACCGCTGTATTTAAATGCACTCCCTGCCCTATGTTAATGTCTATAAGCCATCTATGTGTCTGGGACTTATATTCCTTAATTCTTTTTTTAGATTCCTTAATTCTTAAATAAAACTATGCATCTGTTATATAGTTAAAACTTCAATGATGGTGGTTAAAGTGTTAAGTTGTAAAAAGTTATATAAATGTAAGAAAAAATAAATTTTCCTACTTATCACCTCTTTAAAAACTAAACTTAAGGATAGTTATTACAAAAGAGTACACATTCTGTACAAATTAAATATTTTTGTTGCAGACTATGCAACACGCTGATTAATCGCCTCTATTCCAGGTCCCAACCCTTCAGGGCACAACCTCCTGTGGACTCTGTGCAGCAACTGAAATGTACTGTGTATGGATATATATATCTCCATCTCAGTGGCAGAAGTGAGCAGGAGGACAGCCCTGCTGGAGGCGCTCCTGAGGTCACAGCAGCCTTTCCTGACTCTAGAGGACCCAGACAGACACAACAGGACTGAGCAACTGCTTCAGTCGTGGTACAGGGTGCCAGAGTTATGTGCCGAAAGCTCTGGGGCCCTGCAACCCACTCTAAAGTCCTTTGCGTCCAGGAAGTCAGGACTGTCCTTCATGGACTAAAGTCATTGATGATGACTTACACAAATATCTTTTAAAGCTTCAAAATTTATTGCTGTATATTTCCTCATAGTATTCACTATGGAAATAGTGCAAATATTTATTCTGAACTCGATAGCATTTGAAAGATCACAAAGCTTTTGGTATCTTTTGCAATCATTTATGAAGATCTATATTAAACTTGTATTATTTTTAAAATTTAAACATTATAACATTCAAAGAGATTATATAATGCTTTCTAGAGGAAAAAAATCTGGAAGCCATCGGGCACTCTCTGTCTTGATAAAACTTGTTTTTTAGCTGCATGAGTCTTTATTCACTCACAAACTCTTTCAACAAATACTTATTGACAAGCACATTTCCAGGCATTGTTCAAGGTCCTGGGGAGGGCCTTAAGATGGAAGGACACCAGCTCTATTTCGACGTTGATTACAGGTCATACTAGAGACAGACATGCAAAATATTTTTAACAATACAATAAAGTGCCTCCACAGAGGTGTTTACAAATACAGTGAGAACCTGGACAAGGGAAAGAGCATCTGCCTGGAGAATCAGGGCAACAGCACGGAACAGGCAGTCACTGGGCTGACGCTTACCCGTGACCAGGAACTTGCCATGTAGACAGGCAGGCAAAGGGAACAAGAGGGGTACAGACACCGAAGCCCAGCGAAACATCCAGGAAGCAAGTGGATTTTCTTGAGGTGAAAGGCAGTGGGGATAGTAGCAAGGAGAGGCTACAGCTACAAGATCACTTAGAGTCTTTTGACCATTCTTCTTTTTTTTTCTGTTTTGAAACAGACTGGGTGCTTGTCTGACTGCGTGCAATCCAGGCTAAGTGCTGGGGCTGTACCAGGGAACAGCCTTGCTCTCGTGGAGCTTACATTCTACTAAAGAGACAAAGAATCAACAATTCAAATGCAGGTTTCAGAATTCTCTACAGAGAAACAGGGTACTGAAAATAAGGCTACAAAGACAGGGGTACCGACAAACACCTCTCAAAAGCAACAAGGATGACAGTGACAGCATTCTCCTGAGTATACCCACTAAGTGGCAGGCATTGTACCAAACACCTTGCAAACAGTATCTCGAGGAATCCTCACGACTCTATGAGGTAGGTATTGTTATTCCTGTTTCACCAAGGAGGAATAAACTCGAGGAAACTGAGGGCCCTGACATGTCACACGAAGGCCAAGTCTAGGATGAGACACAGGTTCTCTAACTGCAAAATTCCCATTCTGACATTTGAACCTGCATTTAAAGGCTAGTGAGGAACTCTGAACAGGGAAGGGGCATGATGGCCTCTGCTTCTTTAGAGAATGTCTCTGGAGACAAAAGCAGGGAACAGAGAGGAAGAAGAGGGGACAGTGTACAGTTGGGGAAAAGGAAGCTATTCAAAAGTTCAGAAAGAGGGAAGAAGGCTCCTGTGAATGAAGGGGTTGTGGAAGGATGTGAGGGATGTGGTTAGCTCAGTTCTAGAGGACCGAAAGGGGCTACAAGCAAGGGAATGAGCAACATCTAGCATCATTCCTGCATTTCTGTCTTGTCCAGCTGGAGTTGACTTTAAGCCAACTTGAAGAGTCCAAGATGGTGGTTGGTTTATGGTGATAAAATAATGAATTTAATATCGGACATGTCCTGTGGGTATACTGAGAACATCACAGCCTCATGTGATGGTCACTAAGATACCACTTTATAATGGCTTTTACACCTTGTTTCTACCTGAGTGAAGTATACAAGGAAAAACTACCAAAGCTTTGTAGTATGCACACTGTCAGTTGGCTCTCAAAAAGTGTTTACAGAAATTTGTATCATGGGTTGGATTGTGCTGTAAAAAGAATATACGATTGCCAAGATATGATCCCAAGATGTGGTTGCATGCAAAAAGTCAGGGGCTTTGGTCAGAGGAGAACGACTTTTGGAAAGTCATTCAAATAGCAGTACTAGCTCTTTAAGGGATTATCAATGTTAACTCCAACACACTTAGCCCGAGTCATTCTGATGGGCCCCTGGCAGGGATCATCTGGCTACAATCCTCCCAGAGCCTGCAAATCTGCCCACTCATCTACCAGCAGGGATGTTTAAAAAAAAACTAGGGGACCTAAGGCTCAGACATAAAAACTTAATAAAATCAGAAATTTCAAGAAGTATTGTTACAGTTTGGCAATGGCGTTTTAAAAGCAGAGCAGCTCAGACTCAGCCAGTCATAGAATTTTGACAATCCTGATGCTTCCTCCCTCCCTGGGAATGAAAGGGCACTGGAGGTACTGGTAATAAAGGGTACAGGTGACACCAATGTATAGATGGTCAGTCACAATCTAGACCACGTTACTTCGGGTCTACTTTTACTTTGTTCTATATTTGGTGCTGGGACCTGAATGTAGGGACTCATGCATGCTTAGCATATTGCTCATTTAAAATGAATGTGAATAGCACGGGTCCAGTACATAAACACATAAACTGTCCCTATAGAGCCACATTTTTTGGCTCCATTTTTCATATATAATTTCCTTATAGCCACTCCCTCTTGTCTTTGGCTCAGATCAATTTAAGTATGTTTTAATTTAAAAACTCACCAAATAATTTAATGCCAGTTTTAATAAATAAATATCAAGTTATATCAGTGGTAATAAAGTTAGGCTTCTAACAGAAGAAAAATTCATACTTTGGTGGGATACTGATTAGTAAAGCATCACACTAAATTTCTTAGAGGCTGCCTTGCATGCTGGGAGAGGACCTGAAGGGCTCTATTGACTTAGTAAGCTAGTGGATATTAGAAAGGGAAAACACTCTAGTCAAAACAAGTGCAGCTTCAGGCAGCACCTACAAGGGGACCTTGTATATCTAACTCATGTTGTGGGAAAGAAAGAGCCTTACTTTGTAGCACTATTTAAAGTACTAGTCACAGGCAAGAGAAGAAAACTGTATGGTAGGGGACTGTGTGAAGTTTCTGATGAGGCAAGTCCTATGAAGAGAAGCCTGCAGGCACACTGCAGGACACCAGTGACTTCCCACCACCTCCATTTTCAAACAAAGGCCCAGGGTCACAGTTAAACATGGATCAGGAATGCTATCCAGGAGCTATTACTATGTGTGTTCTTTAACAGAAGAAGTTCCAATCAGTCTGTGAATATAGTCATTTATTTGTCTTTACAGTGATGATGGAAGAATGTACAGGTATCTTCTTTCAATAAAGTATAAAAATCTGTTTATATACAGAGAAGTCACAATAATCTTTAGTTGGGAAATGTGTTTGGTACTCCTGATCTGTTGTATTAAAACTGTGGGGGAAACAAATATCTCACTAAGTGCTACATTTCCAGTAGATTGCACCTGGCATCAGAAGCTCCACTTCATTTTTAAGGGTCCTGCTTGATATTATAAAAGACTACTTTAAGTCCTAGGACTCAAAATAAACATCATTTGGAATAATAGATATATACATCAAAAATACATCTAGAAAGGCATTGGTTAGTGCTATTAAAAAGCTCTATGTGCTCAGGTACACTTTTTTCTTACAGGCGAAACCTGGTGGAAATGTTTTAACTCCATTACTGGCAATTTGCTCTTGGGGAAGTTCAGTCGAAAGTTACCTGTGAAGACAGAAGAACAATGATTTCTTAGGTGAACGGTCAGTAAGACTCACTTAGAATCCCACCTTTACAGTCCTGGTAGAACACTGAGCTCTGTGACTGAGTAGGGATGGCTGAACACTGCAAGTTTCTGATGACCCAGTTCACTGTCAAAGAATCATATATACTATTGCTTATATAATATTTCTGGTCTACAATTAGCTAAAACAGCATAAAAGTGAAACCCATGGGCATATAAATAAAATATCCTAACAGACGACAGCCAAACCCAAACATATTTTTGAGAAAATTCTACTTAATAATGATTTTGTTTATGCAGTGACTGGTTTTACTTTATAGTCTTTGTAGATGTGCTGGAGTCTTCTGATTACCAGAGTGAGATGATGCTGTGCAACTGTGAACTGAATAATGTGCGTCTTTAATACAGTTCATTCACAGTTGCACATATCAACACATTAGTTTTTGTCACCATCTCTTTTCAAAATCTTCTTAAAATGCTTGATAACATGGGTTCTTATCTGCAAGTGTAAGATTAAATATTATAGAAGATCTTGGCATGTTACTTAACTAAATAAATAACCTAAATAAGCAAACGTGTGCCATTCTTGCATATACAGAATATTAGAAAGAGCACCAATCTGAGGAGGCTAGCACGCCAAGAAAACCAAAAGTTAGAAGACCCCGTATGTTATGAGCCATATGAAGCTGGGCAGTCCCACCTATTATCTAGCTATGAGGTAGTGCTCCACCTCTTGCACACATAAGGATGAACACGGAATCAGGTTGTGGAATCATGCTCCAGGTTCTTAAGTACTTCGCGTGCATACAGGTTAAACAAGGAGGGTATGTGAATGTAAATCTGAATGCTTAAGAAGTATTCTAAGTTTTTCACAAGCTACAAGTCTAATGGCCTGATCTAACAATGCCTTCTTGAGGTCAGAATATAGCATGCCTAAGTCTATGCTTATTGAACATATAAAAATAATGGTACTTTTAAAGAATTAATTAAAATTCAATCACTCTTCCATCCTGTTTGTGACTACTGAGATGCACAGTGTGGGAGGCAATGGGCAGGTGCCAGCTCCTGTCCACAGAGGAGTGCCCTAGCACCTGCTTGCTACTGGGAGCTGTCTGAGTGTGGCCACCTGAGCAATCTTGAAGTAAGCACCAAGGAAGCAAAGATCTAGTTTTGTCTTCCTGACTGCCTGTGTTGATTTCAGGAGCAAATTTTGAAAGAGAAGAAGACAAAACAAACAAAAACCAAACTGACAAAAGAGATGGGCCATCTCAGATGACATCTTGACACAATGGCCTAAAATATGACACGGGAACAACAACCAAGCAGACTCATTCCCTCACTGGTTCTAGAGACACTGTGGGCTAAGGCCTCAGACAACAGGGACATGCTCCACCTCTCTCTCCCTCTCTCTGTCTCTGTCTCTCTCTCTCTGTCTCTGTCTCTCTCTGTCTCTCTCTGTCTCTCTCTGTCTCTCTCTCTCTCTCTCTCTCTCTCTCTCTCTCTCTCTCTCTCTCTCTCTCTCTCTCTCTCTCTCTCTGAGAGATATAACACATACTGAATGAACTCATCAGATTCCTGCAGTGCAATCTCTCAGCTTGGAAAACATAAACACAGTGTCTTCCTACCTTCAGTGAGGAAAGACAAGGTTTAAATAGGAATGAACCAGATTCCCCTAGTAAAGAAATAAAATACTTAAAACTGGACTGAACTGGCTCTAAGCTAAATGGATAGTCAAGAAATTGCATGACTGGAGATTTGCTCTCCCTGAACACGTAAAGAGCAGACATGATATTTACTACTTGGTTACAATGGCATCGTGGTATTGGGCACTATTAAAGTAAGGAGAGGCACTCAAGGGAAGGGAAGGGATGCTGACAATTGAACCCATCTTCTCTCAACTCCCTACCTGTGCTCTGCTTCTCTAATGAACAGGTCTCCCAGTCAGCAGCTCCAGAGGAAACCTATTCTTCCCTCTGCTGTCTCAAGCTCACTCTCAATCAGTGACCAGTCAGGATTCTACCACCAAACATGACTCAGATCTACCCTTTCCTGCTCACATGCCCCATCACCTTCAGAAAGCCACCACTGTCCCTTATCAGACTACCACAGCAACTTCTCAACTGATCTCCCTGCCTCCAAGCTTTCTCTACTCCAAGCCAAATAAGCAACTATGATTATACCTTCTGGAAAAAGCTCTGCACTGTGACTCATGGGTCTTCCATGAGTCACACATTCCTCCCTGCTGCCTAAGCAACAGAAAGTCTAACTTGCAGCCTCTCATCTTCTCTCTGGAGAAACCAACCTTCTCTCTGCCAACTCTTCTAATCATGTCACCTTCTACCTGTGCTCCACTTAACTCAATTCTGCTTGTCTTTAGGACTGAGGCAAACTTATCCTTCCTCAGAGTAGCTAAGCTGACCCTTCCCATCATGTTCTGCTCTTCTGTATCGTCTTCTCACATTTGGTTTCATGAGGGAACAAGCCATTGACATAGGGGTGTCAGAAATCAAAACAGATCTTGGCAAAACATAAAAGAGAGTCTGGGAAGCAAGATGACACATCAAAGCAACAGAGGGAGAGCACACACATAAACAAAGCCCACACTTTCATCTTCAAGGTAAATGCATGTTGTACTTATCAATGCTCTTCCTCTTCTGTCTGTGTCTACTATGTGGTATGAAGAATCAACTAAAGGGTAAGATTTTGCTTATCTTACTACTATAATTCTAAGGAAGGCACAGGATCCCTCAGAAGGCAAAAGGGGACCAGCCATTCCTGGAAACCCAAGAGTCCTTATCTCCTTCCTGTTTTCTCACAGGATACCATAGGCATGTTTAGCCATTTATTAAAACCATATGAAGTAGACCAAAAGATCCCTTCTAGGTGACTATTGTGTAAAGAATGTCCTCACCAAATCAGGACAGATGTAATACTTCAGGGTCCTTAAATACAGAGGGGTCACATGAATGAAACAAGTACACTATTGAGACACAAAGGGAAACTAACGTGAAAGCAAGCGTCTTCCCTCTGCCTGTCTCTGCACTGGTGTCTGCTTACCTGATGATATTCTTAAGCGTCATCTCCACTGTCCATATCAATGTCTACCTCCTCTGTATCAGCAGCCCGGGACAGGATGTCTGCCATCAGTGCTTCTTCCAATTTCTTTCGTACTTGTTGGACTCGCTCTTCCTGTTTCCTTTTCAAGATTGGAAGGAAACGAAACTGAAAATTCAGTAAGTGATAAAAATGAAAGTACCCTGAGTGCCGCCCCCATCACTTAGAAAAGCAAAATTCCTTAGACTTCCCAAGTGCTGCCTCTATATACACAAACCAAACACTGCAAATTTCAACAGAAAAAAATTTAAAGAATAGCTGGCTGTTCAAGGGTGGTTATCTCTTGTCTCCAGAGATTCTGAAGGAATAGATGAACTTCAGTGGCCTTTTCTTCAACTTCATGAATTTCAAGTGTGGGACAATTTGGAGTGAAAACTTAAAAAATAAGTAGAAAGAACTTGGAAGCAAAGATATGAGAGGAAGAGAAGATGGAAAAGAAAGGAGAACAGCTTCTTGGGTGAAGTGTCAACAGAGACATGTTAGAGGCACAGCAGGCTGGGCTTGCTCTGCCATTCTGTGGCTGAGTCAGGAGAGAGCCATACTAGGAAGCCAGGTCCACACAGAAGAGGCAGGACTACCAAAGGCCATGACTGGGGACAGAGACCAAAGAGCATCTATCTCTCCTACTGAGATGAGATGAGAAGCCCAAGACCATTATCATGAACTTCTCTACTTTGGTGACAGCACGATGACCTCAAAAGTGACAATAGTTTCACATCACAAAGAAGGCCCTAAACCATTAGATGAAAAACAAAACCCAGGATAAAGAGGCTACTAGAATGTTCTGTAGTTCTATGAAGTACAGGGTGGAGGAGGATGAGAGCCCTGAGAAAGTAAGGAAACAGATATCCAGAAGCAAGCAAGGAGACCAGAGTGAGAAACAGAGAGACAGAGGAAGAGCTCCACAGAGCTCCTGTGTGAGAAGACATGGAATGGTGAGATGGTACATATGCAGAATATATAAAGGAGCTGCAGTAACCAGGAAAACCTGGGACTGCACACACACACTCTCACACACACTCACACACACACACACACACACACACACACACACACACACACACACACACACACACACAGTGGTTCCCTCCCATTAAGGCAGACAGATGGCAGCAATGTGCACACCCGGGATAGCAGACAGGGAGAGGAAACATTCTGAGGACTCCATCAGATCCCTGGGAGATTAGCCAGCTGTGTGGAGTCCCTTTTGTTCTAAAACCCAGGACTGAATGACACTGCATCCAAGGTAAGGAAGGTAATAATAACCTATAGTCATGAAAACACTGTACATTTCTCTATGAAAAGAATTAGCACAAAGGATTCCTAAGAACAGTTTCTGAGTGAAGTTTCAAATCAGGCAGGCAGGAGGAAGGCAGTGCAGTGTCAATCTGACCTCTGCAGTCTCTTCACAACAAATGAAATTTGAGTTCAACAAATGCTCATATAATGGAGCAGACTCCAGAAGAAGAATTTTGTTTATTTCTTACAGTTTGTTTCCTTTCTGGCCCAGTGACTTGAAATGTATGCCAAATGACGTATCAGTCACATTGGCAGTCTCACCCCTAACGACAGAATAGGATAGACACAGATGCCATTTTGTAAAGATGTCTATCTTGAGCTCTATTGTCTGTCACTGAATTCTTTTACTTTGAACATGACTTCCTGCCTTTATACAACAAACCTGCACAATTGTGTGATGTTCTCCTTGTATAATTTCTCCCAGTAAGGGTGGGTGACATTTGTGGATATGGTGAAATATCACTCTATAATTAGTTACTAATCCCAGAATCATTAACCACAAGAAAGCTGAATCTAGTGAACCCAACCCATTAAGATGTGTCCTGAAAGAAAAAAACTATGAGGGCATACAAAAACCACATGTGGGGAACTACAGGCCACCCTTAAAAAGGATAGGGCAGCCCTTGTTCAGCAATCAACAACTGAACAGGGGAGGGGTCTCAGCCCTGCAGCACACTGTGAAGTTCCTATCAAGTGCTTGAACTTAATTCTCCCACACTCCGGAAGGAAGATGGTCCAGACATCACTGATCTCAGTCTAATGAGGCTGAGCAGAGCCCTGGCTGTCCAATCACAAGACTGTGAGTTCCTGAATGACTTGAGCTGTGATTATAAGAGTGCTACTAAGTATCAGAAAACAATTACATTCATGACTGAAACTATTCCAAGTGTGCTGAAGAGGTACAGTTAATGCTGAGAGTTTTAGCCAAGTGCTCCTGAGGAAAGCACACACTACAACTAGAATAGCAGAGGATTAGCAGGCCCCTGTGCAAGAGTGAGGTCTTCAGTTAGCTCTGCAGAAGCAAACGCCAGAGGCAACTAGCGGAAGAGCAGCAAGTCTACTCATGGTCATGTCCTCTGAGGCTGTGCCAATTCAACAAGGAATGCTACTTAGTAATTCCTGTTACACCAGTCACATCAAATGATTTGTTAGACAACTAACCCAAATCCCGGTCTGGATTTACATTCCCAGTACCCCAGTTCAAACCCAAACAACTTGGTGAAAATTCTGTTCATTATCTCTGTGTTTATACCAAGAAGGAAAAAAACCTCGTTTCCCAGGTAATTATCTTCCTCAAGGTCACAACGATCCACGAAGCAACCTCATCTCTAGCTTTTATTTTTATATTTTGTTTTTTTAAAACTCTTCAAAAATAAGGTTGATTGCAAATTTCAAGAAACCACAGCATATGAATACAACCTTGAACTCTGTTCTGTCTTTTCAAAAGATATTATTTTAAAGCCCAAGAATAGTTCTCCAATTATAAACCTAGCTAGACTCATACATTTAGGAACATTTCCATATCAATCTTTTATAGATTTAGATGGAAACAAATACAAATAGAAAACTACTTTAAATTGGATGATTCCAAACTGCCATCTGCTGGTTTCATCTAGGAATGATACTCCAGGAAAAACCAATTTAGATTCAAATAGAAATAGTGAAGTATACATACTGCCATGTTTTTAAAAGCAGTGCAGTAGACTGAGGTGCCATTATTATCACTACAAAGTGATGGTTCCAGAGTTCAAAAGTTCCAGAAAGTAATCATGATCTTACTATTCAATATGTTACTTCTCTGGCATAACAGTTTCCTTAGACTTCAGGGTACTGTCAATCCAAACCAGATTTTCCCTTGACAATAGTTGCTAAACACCTGCTTTGTGGCCCAGCCTTAGAAAGAATGAAAGATATTTGTAGAGGTAACTATGCTCTCTCTTATTCCTGCCTCTGTTTACCTCTGTGCTCTGTCTTTCTCATTTGCTTCCCATCTTGCTCTACTGTATGAGCATGTGTGTATATGGGTATGCATGTGTGCAGTCTGTGGGGGGTGTATTTATGTGTGTGTGCATGGACGGATATGTGTCTCTGGAACAATTCAAATATTTACATGTAACAATAAAGCAGATATAAGTAAACCTCTACCTGAGCTTGAATGAAATAAATATAACTAAGCTGAACTTTAAAATGCAACTGAGCCTTAAGGCAATGAGGCTATCTATCACCTGCTCTAAAGAGGGGCTGGTTTGCAGACAAACCAATGCAAAAGGAATCACAAAGGCATGGTGAAAAACTAAATGATGTGGTTTGGGAACAGAACACCTGCTTTGAATGCTAGAGGCCTGGGTTTCAATTTCAAGCACTACAAGAGACAAATCAAAACTACAAAGACACTGCATAAAAGGCCTGAGGAATGAAAGGGGCTCATTAGAGCAGGGCTCCAGAGGCACAAACTGGAAAACCACTGCCTTGAGAATATGACTAATCTGCTGACGACATTCTTTTGACGATCACTCTGACACAAAGCCTACTTTCAAGAATATTTTTCTTACATAGATCCTAATCACATTCCATTCATTTCAAAAAAAGCTCTGTGTCTTAGTTATGGTTTCTATTGCTGTGATGAAACATCATGACCAAAAGCAACTTGGGGATAAAAAGGTTTATTTATACACTTCCATATCATAGTTCATCACTGAAGAAGTCAGGGCAGGACCTCAAACAGACTAGGAACATGGAGAGAGGAGCTGATGAGGAGACCATGGAGGGTGCTGCTTACTTGCTTGTCCTATTTCTTGCTCATCATGGTTTCTTATGAACCCAGGATCTCCAGCCCTGGATGGCAGTGCCCACAGTGAGCTGAGCCCTCCCAGATCCCAGTCACTGCCCTTCAGGGTTACCGATAGCCTGATCTTACAACGGCACTTTCTGAATTGAGATTCCCTCCTTTCAAATGACTCTATTTTGTGTTAAGTTAGCATAAAGCTAGCCAACACTCTGTAAAATCCAAAATATGATTTCTGATTAAATTCATCCCTTATAGATTGGAGATTATTTTTTTTAATCTAAAAGGCTTGGAACCAAAGGAAATTTCTTACTTTTTTTGGAGGATTTGCATACAGAGATTTCTTGGACATGGGCCCTCAGGCCAAACACAAAGTTCACTTATGCTTCTCACATACTTTATACACTTCCTGTGAGGTAATTTCCATGGCATTTTTAATAGCTCAGCACAGGAAGTCAAGTTTGATGGCATCAAGCTGTTCATTTACAGTGCCATATCAGACATCAAAAGGCTTCAGATGCTGAAGTTAATTTTAAGTTTTTAATATTTTAATATAGGATGATCAACTGTACTAGCTGTGACACTGAACGTAAAGCTTTTATAGAATTTACCTACAGGCAAAACTGTTGAAAGTTGTATTGAAATGCCTCACCTAATGTCTTCATCTGTGACAATGAAAGCTTTGCAGAGGGGCTGAGATGTGTTAAGCCAGACAGCAGGGTTCTTCTCCACGGCCGCAGAGACTTGTCCAGTGATTGGCGCAGAACTTGTGTGCAGAGCACTGGCCACAGCAGACAAAAGGGTCTCATCATTACTCCCGGGACCAACTCCTGCAATGAGAAAGCAACACTGCTGAAGGGAAAATACCCCTGACACAGTGGGCCAGCCACTGCCTAATATAACCAGTATTCGTATGCTCACTTAGGGTCATACAGGTAAACCTGACACCCAACACAGCAACAACAACAAAAAAATAGATATCCATTTAACAGCCACTATGTACCAAAGACCTGACATTAAACAGTGGTAAAACATCTAAGAACTTTAAACAAAACTTCAATTTTAAAAAACATTTCTTAAGGCCCTAAACTTTTGAAAAGTTATATGCATTTTCTCAAGGAGAGTAAACTATTTAAATAATCTAAATCCCTGTAAGATCACTATGCAAGTATCCCTACTAACATGGCCTGGATCAATTTCTTCCTATAGCTTTTAATATCAATTTCCAGAAGTGTCTCTATGTTTATCATCCTTGATCTGAGACTTCATGGAATGTCAATGCATGCATGACCCAAAACTTAATCAGATATTTAAATAACGAAAAAAAAAAGTTCAGATTCCTAGAATCAGTGCATACCCTCATTCTTGTAGGGGCCTCTCGCCACAGTAAACTTTAAAGGAAGTGATCAAAGTTCTGAATTTATTTAAAGCAATAATTTCTAAGAAAATACAAGTGTGAGATAATAACACAACTGTACATTTGGAAGATTTTTGAAAAATCTACACTAAGTCAAGATTGAAGACTGACATTCTAGTCCTTGAAAAACAATGCAGCTCTCGAATGAGGCATAACCAAATGAAATGACAAGTAGACTGGCCACTGAGTGGCCTACCCCAGAATTCACTAGGTAATATCACAGTGTGTATTCCTACTGCAACTTAAAGCAGCAGTTTGTAGACATATAGGAGATTTTGGAGTTGTCTTTTAGTGTAAGATAAGATAAAGAAAATACTGGGGTGAGATGCTACTACTTGGGAGGCAGGAAACCTGGGGAACCCTTTGTTCATCTGTAGTTAGTGCTAAAAACATCCCACAGGTTAAAGGAGATGACAAGGCTAAGCTGGAGCCAAACATTCACACAGAAGAGAAAGAAATGCTAGGTGACATACTATTCAGAAGCATTCCTATGATACAATTGCCATGTATGTTTTCCCTCGGTTTATAACATAAGAGGCAGACCATCTAGCCAAGCGCATTGTCCCCCAAAGCAAAAGTCTGCTGGTACAGGTCAATTATGAATGCACAGTACCTAATTCCAGTACCGGGCACACAGTAGTAGGTACTTAATAAGTATCTATTCAGCTAGACTTAGATGGTACCTTGAAGGCCTTTGGGTAGCTCCATGGTTTTTATAATTTGTTCTGTTACATCTGATGCACTAAGTCCTTGCAGTCTCTTCTCCCAGAAAAGCTGTAAGGCAAAATACCAGTTAGTTATATATTCGATGTTGCTGAATGATGTAATGCAAGTCATTTCAGTAGTTTCCTATGGTTTTCTCATTTTTTTCCCCTTTCAGCAAGCTAAATGAAACTCCAAACAAGAATTTTTCAACACATCCTAACTCCTTCACATGAAATTACTCAAAAAGTGTTGTTTTGATTGTACAAACTAAATTATTACAATATTACAGATTGTTTTGTTATAAGCTATATATAATACTCATAAAGTATCTTCAAAAGAATGCAATCATTTGAAATTTTAAATGTTAAAATTTAACAAAGAATGAACAGTAATATCCAATATATTTGTATAAACATGATTAGCCTTTCAGTACACTTTATAGAGTCATTGTTGATATAATTTCTTCTAAAACATCTTAATACCAGTCATGAATTGCTTTCTCCCTGTTGCACAGGTCCCTGGGTTACCCACCCACTCAGTGGCTCCAGATCACTGTTTCTGGTGTTAGTGAGCACTGAAGACTCTCCCTGCCCTGGGGAGCTACTGAGATAGACAATTATCTACTTAAACACAATTGCTTTTGGGTTTTATTCTCATGTCTCACTGAATGTGTCCAGTATGCGGCATATTTTCTGAGTTCCTATCACACACTATTCTTGTCTTATGGATGCATAATCAGCAATGGTTCTTATCCTGCTTCTTTTTAAATGTCTACAGACAAGGAAAAAAAAACAAAGAATTCTATAGTACTCTCTTCCGTCCTTTAGTCCTAGATAACAGGACCTGTTGCAAAGTTGGTGCTGAATTTGTGTAATGAGAAACAATGGAGGCAACAGAACTGAGGTAGTGAAAGACACATAAGCCCATGTGGGAATTCTAGATCCATCACCTGTGAGATAGACAGCCTTGGGCTTTACGTCCCTTTTATAGCTGTGGAAGCAACAGTTATAACACAAGATTACTGTGGAGAGTAAGGCAGGTAATACATGTCAAGCACCTATCATACCGCAGTCATAAAACTTACTATATTCACTTCAAGCAAGATTTAACTACTTTGGGGGCCTCGGGGAGCTTAATATAGTAAAGCTCTCAGATAATCACCCATCACACAAATGAGAAGATATGGTAGTTTAATTCTCCTTCTGGCAGAATAATATGTTGTGTTTATAATAACCTCAAAACTAGCACCAAGAGTAACTTCCAAGAGAGGGCCCTAAAGACCTTTCGTATAGTTATATTGCTACGTGTCTTACATATTCCTACAAGTAATAGTCTCAGTAGAAAATATAGTCAGTTAAGCAGTCAATACTAGGAAGATGGAAGTATATTAATCAAGAGTTCAGTGAAAGTATAGTAATTATCATAAACATCCTGAGAAATCCTTTCTGCATTCTATTCACGCTCCCCAAACTCTATGTTCTATTTTTAATATCCTCAGTCAGTTTATAACTCACAATCCTTGCAGAGAGTAGGGAGAGGGAAAGTCTTCTTTTGCTAACTCAATGGTTCTCAACCTTCCTAGTGGTGTGACCTTTTAATACAGTGCCTCATGTTGTGGTGACATCCAACCATAAAATTATTCTTGTTGCTACTTCATAACTGTAATTTTGCTACTGTTATTAATCATAATGCAAATATCTGCTATGCAGTACATCTGATATGTGGCCCTATGAAAGGGTTGTTCAACCCCAAAAGGGGTTGAGAACAGCTGGCATAAATGTTTCTTAAGGCCTTCATGAAGTTCAGGTGTTTATTAGGACTAGATTATGTTCATCTGAAATTTTTCTCAGTCTACCCATGTCCAACAACAGAAATATTCAAATCACATGTCTTTCCATATCTGTAAGGTGACCTAGTTCCCTTTCTGTCCTGTGGTAAGATACCCCGTCAAAAGCAACTTGAAGAGAGAGGGTTCATTTAGCCTCCAATTCCAGGTTACCTTTCTCATGTCAGGGAAAGTCAAGGCAGGAACTTGAAACATTGGTCTCACTCACAAGGAAGAATAGAGAGAGAATGAATGCATGCCTACCTCTAGGATTTAGCTTTCTTTCTCTACTCTTAATATAGTTCAGAGCTCTCAAGCCAAAGGAATGGTACGGCCCACAGTGAACTACATCCCACACCAATTAACATAATCAAGACAATCCTCCACAGATATGCACACAAAAACGACCTAGACAGTCAGACATAGAAAACTCTTGGAGAGTCTCTTCTCCAGTGATTCTAGATTGTTTCACATTAACAAAACTATCAGAGGAGGCCCCATTTCTACCTAGATACCTAGAGTTTCTCAGTACATTTTGTAAACACTACCATTATCCTCAGTTCTAACATGAAAATCTGATTTTACCTGCCTAATTCAATGATTTTCTCAACTTAATCTTGCTGCCTGCTCAGACACCAAACGATCAATAAATATAATACTTAGGAGAAACACTGATTTAATAATTGGGTCAAGTCCCAAAATCAATGCACTATCACCTTGGGATATTAAGTACCTTTCTAATCCTTACCAGTGAAATCCCTAAGTACTTCTAAGATATTCTATTCACACTCCAGAATACTAAAAAATCAGACAGCTCCCACATGAACATCACTTTCTATTTCATGGTCTCTACAATGGCCTATCAAATAAACCACCTGACTGTGGGAAAATATTGGAAGGGATTAAACATCACGTGTAAGCACTAAGCACCTCTAATGTCAGCGATGGGCAATGCTGAAAGAAGCATTCTGGTCACTACGGGGCCTATGCCGCACTGTGCCGCCTTCTCTCGGGTCTTGGTTTAGTATGTGTATTAGGGCATTAGTCAGGCACAACTGCCTGCACTTTATCTACCCTGGCCTCCCAAAGGGGCAAGCAGGATGGTGTGCCACAAAAGTCATTTCTTTTGTGAGATGAGCCACCACATATGTTTACTGAAAGTAAGATTAATCCCAAACACAACTGTCGCGTCTTTTTTTTAACTGCTGAGGTTTAACTTGGCTTTGGGGGATATGTTAACTTGCCTGTAGAATAGCATCAAGAAGAGGAAGAAGAAACAGGAATCACAAGAAAACTCAAAACCACACACAATTCTGGAGCTTCAGACACTGAGCTGCTAAAACCTTTATCATTCTACCTGCCCACCACCCTGAGAGCATTAACTCATACTCTGAAAAGATTTATACTCTTTGAGAAAGTCAGAAACATGGGGAGCCACTGAGTCCTGAGTGGATGAGTATTGCTGACATGAGCACAGTCATATCAAAATCTCCAAGGCATCATCAGATTCATGGGAATGCCAAGGCCTTCCCTAGGGCAGGCTCAGGAGAATGTCAAGGTCTTCTCCAGGGCAGGCTTAAGGGAATGTGAAGGCTTTCCACTGGTCTAGGCACCAATGTTGACAGTATGCAGAAAGATTATCAACCAGGACTTCATCCCCTCAGATGACTGTAGCCTACAGAGACCTCCCTGCTACCAAGATTAACTTATCCATCTCCTCATTCAGATGTATATGATAAACACACTGAATTTCTGGGCTGCCAATTTGCTCCATTAGAGCAGATGACCCCCCCCCATCCCAGCTTTCCTGGAATGTTCCTGGTTGCCCATCAGGTCAATCCCAAAGCTGTGCAGGTTGCAGCACAAAAAGGGGTGGTTTACAAGGAAAGGGCAATCAGAGAATCAGTCCCAGCTCAGGAAGTGTTCTTTGAGCACCCATCCTGTGCACAGTATTTTGGTAGGTTCTGGGGTGTTCATGTACTGGCTAAGGAGTTCTGTTTGGTGAAAATAAGGCAAGGGAGACTGAAGAGACTGTAATAATGCTAGCGTAGCATTAACCTCAACATCAGAGAATTGGGGAAAAGGTAGCTCCAAAGACTGTCCAGGAATATTCTATAGCAATGCCTACCCACAGAAGTAGCTTAAGCAGCAATCAGCATTTCTTAGTAGTTTTACACAGAGCAGTATATCCTAAAGCCTGGCTTTCAGAAACTCTGCTCTATAGGCCTGGGTTTCATCAACTAATTGTTGGGCTTTGCTTTTGTTGTTGTTTTTTTCCCTAAGAATCTTAGGTGATTCTGATATGGGCAAAAGAAGACTAGTTTAAGTCATGGTAAGAGAAGTACAGCATCCACAGAGGGGTGGTGTACTGTCAACATGACAATTGTACATTTTAGCCCCAATTATGCCTAAGGATAGAAAGCTCCAATTATCATCTTCACCTCAGAGTCTCCTCCCATTAATTCACTGTAGGAAGATGTGTTAAAGTAGTCAAAAGTTAACTGACTGTTTAGGTATAAAGAAAGAACTCACCCAAAGTTCAGTTGTGACAGCACAATTATACTCAGTCACAGGACCTCAGTGGCACAGGGTGAGCAGCAACAGGTGACAACCACCACTTAGCAACCCACCGCCCAGCCCTCTGCTAAAAGCTTTATTACAGGAATTTAGTCACTCTTTGCTGCACCATTTATAGTTAAAGAAACTGAGGCTTGGAGGGGCTCAACCAGGAGTGAGAAATGCAACTAGAATTACAAGAAGGTTAGGACAACTAAACAGTCCTGCTCCAAACAATAAGAGGAGGAAGAACCCTTAGTATCTGCTCTCCACTGGACCACACAGCACAAGCCTTGGACTCCTCTATGTGACTTCCAAGATGGACAATAATTTTTACCTGTTAAGACGAGTTAATCTGAAACCACTAAAGTATGGGATCCATTTAAGGAACTTACAGGCAAACTCTCTGCAAGTTGTGTCTGATGTCTGCCTTCTCCTTATGCAGAATAAAGAGGTCCAGGTGAGTTAAGACCTTTAGCTAAAACTAGTGTCAGTTTTAGGGAGACAGCAAACTGTTCTTTGGCTAGCTCACAAGATTTTTTAAAGTATTATTTATAGTCTCTGCCAATAAGCTTTCTCAGACACAGCTACAAATGCCAATCATCTAAATCAACAAAATTTTCAGAGGATGGAAATATCAAAATGAGACTCTGCCTCTAAGAACATGCCCAGGAACATCATGCTGACA